GCAGCTAAATTTTGTTGAAACTATTTTTAAAAAATAACAGTTATGTCGTTGAATAAAAAAAGAACTGCTTGCATCGTGCAACATCCTTAAAAATAAAATTTCGGGCAGATATAGCAGTTTTCGTACATTAATTAACTTTTAAATCGAGTTTTCCTTGAATATTTAATAGTTTTAAATTTTGAGTGGTAATTTTTTATAATTTATTAAATTATTTAAGATTTAAACTTATTGCTAAGATTAGTACGAACTGAGATTGGCTGTTTATGTCGAGGCAAAAAAAAACAAAAAAAAAACGAAACACCGATACTTAACTTAATACAAATCCGGCAAAGATGGGCGAATGATGTATCATGATGATGATCGTAAATTTAAATATATATTTGGTTTTTATTTTTTGCATAGATTTCAGGTTAACAGCAAATTAAATACATGCGTACTGGACTAAACTATTAAAAAGGTTACGGCTATTATTCCACAAATTATTTGGATATAAGATGATTTTGATAGCAAAACACTACTTTGTTCGGTCAACCGTCACTTTTTTGACGATCAGAATCGATAAAACCACTGAATAATATTGAAATTACGTACATATAATCGCAGAAGAATTGAAATACGTAAGTTTTGTTTAGCTGATGTTAATTTTTTTTACACCAAGTGTTTTCAATTGAATAATTTTAGCGTGTTATAATAACGCTAATAATTGGAGAGTTATATAACAATTATATTTTCAACAATAATTTTGTCCACATCAATGCCTAGCATGAAAAGGTGTAACAAAATGTTAATTACATCTGCACATTTATCTACAACTACATAAGATAAAAATCATCAAAATTTTATATAGCTACTGAATTTACGTTTAAACATTTTTTGTCATGTATGTAACAATTTTTTTGTTTATCTTTTTTTTCGGTTTTAACTTAACACTTAGTTGTTCTGTAATAATTTTTTTAAGTTGTAAGTTTGTTTGCCTTTACTTTATTGTTTTGCTGTTGGGTTCTTTTCTATTTCTAGTGTTCTAGTGTTCTCTTCTACCTCTACTATTATGTTTTACTTTTCTTAAAGATCTTCTCAACGCTGGCTGACGGATTAAACACAATCTTATTGGAATTAATGTCTTTGATATTATTAGGAATGCTATGATCAAACATTATACACTCAGCGATGAAACATAAAAATTGGGATATAATTTTGTTACTAACTTCAATGAAAATTGAGAAAGGAGGTAGTTTGAAAAATATGACACGAAATGTTCCAAACGTTTGGTGAAAGTAGCTGAACTTTAACGAGAGATCGTGCACATCCTTGATCCTAGGCGGTTGAGTGTTTACCTTTATAAAATATAAAGGCTTCTGTAATAAAGAATAATCGTTTGAACGAAAACTCAGTGCCGGTTTTCTATTTATTTAACCTAAGTTCACACGTTTCGACAAACTCGGCCGGTACGATTTGATAACTCATTGTTTGTCCGAAACGGAATTTGCATAATGAGGTTTACCACCGACACAATCTCCGGTGATATTTAATTCAAAGCTTATTTTCGACTCTAATGTTCCGAGCTCATATCGGTTACTGTTGTGCTTTAATACTCTCTCATTAGCAATACTTAATAAGGTGTTCCTAAAAACTGTGTTACATCAAGATAAGGCGGGAGATAATTTTCTCTTTCTCAACAGTCATGACAAGAAGGGTGTGAGTCTTTTTGTTCAAGTAGATTCAAAAGATTTTGATTTCCTGTTGTTTGTCGAAAGTCAGAACCCATGGCAAATCGTATATATAGACTATACCTATAGAATAATAGACTGAACTATTTACAATTAAAATCTTCTAGGCGGCCATCGTCGTACTCAATATTCTGCCAATGGCCACTGCTCAATCATACCACACCAATAACTAAAACCTAGGTAATATGCCATCGAGGTACATGGATACTTCGACAGGCTTGGTTTAAAATTCAAACACATTCAACCAACATTCTCGCTAATAAATACATACATCCGTAATTATAAGACATGAAATATGTACAATGCAGTGACTTTTATTATCTGAGAGTAGGCCGTTATCTATGGATTTTCGATTGCTTTTGCCAAGCTTTCGACCTATTTTAAGGTCATCATCAAGGCACAACTCCAAATACAACAACGATATCACATTTCCTTGAAGACCCATCATTGCCAAGGACTGACTCCTTGAGAGTCTAGAGTCTTCAAAATCATTACCAATGTTTCTTGTACGTAATACATTTAGGTATTAAATTTTACGAAATATAGTTTGCCTAATATGACCGAACATTAATGTAAAATATATTTCTCAGGGTTGGGTTTTTGTAGTCCAGTTTTCCCAATATTTAAGGTGTAATACATTATATATTCTTTATTTTTTTAAATAGAGAGGTAAAGAATTATTACTGGTACTTTCGTTTCTAATTTGCAAATATGTGTATGGACAGTAAATAAATAATTTTTATTTAATTTGTAAAATATATATTACCAAAATCATTAAAGATAATGTCTTTTAGAGAAACAGTAATTTTACAGAATGCCCGATAGTTGGTTAATTTTCTTCATCTTATGATTCTAAATGGTGTAGGTAACATAATTTGTGTACACATAATTTATGACATAACATTAATGTAAAATATGTATTACTTTATTAAAAATCTTTATAGATAATGTCTTTTAGAGAAAGATTAATTTGTGGAAATAGATGATCTACTTTTGAAATATGTAAATATTTTTTGATATTATAAATTTATGTGTTCTCATTTTACGATTCTAAATAATGTAGGTAACATAATTTGTGTACATATATTTTATGACCTAACATTAATGTAAAATATATATTACTTTATTAAAAATCTTTATAGATAATGTCTTTTACAGAAAGAGTAATTTGTCAAAATAGTTGATCGACTTTTGAAATATATAAATATTTTTTAATATTATAAATTTATGTGTTTACTCATTTTATGATTCTAAATAATGTAGGTAACATAATTTGTGTACACATAATTTATGACCTAACATTAATGTAAAATATGTATTACTTTATTAAAAATCTTTATAGATAATGTCTTTTAGAGAAAGAGTAATTTGTCAAAATAGTTGATCGACTTTTGAAATATGTAAATATTTTATAATATTATAAATGTATGTGTTTAATCATTTTATGATTCTAAATGGTGTAGGTAACATAATTTGTGTACACATAATTTATGACGTTGAAGAAGAAAGTAAATTTAGTTGCTACTGCCAAGCTTTCGACCTATTTTAATATCATCATCAGAGCAAAACATCCTTAAATATATTACAATTAATTAAGGATTTTAGTTGAGATAAAAAAGTCAATGGCACGAGCGGGATTTTATCTCAACTAAAAACCTTAATTAATTGTAATATATTAATTGGTCAAGCGGACCACGAAATTAGTGAATTTAATCCTTAAATATGTTTACAGACTGACATATTTAAGTTTTTTCAGGCGATCTCCTGCGTCCTTGGCAATGTGGACTGAGTCGGTCTTCAAGAAAATTTGAGATCGCATGTAAAATCATAAATATGTCAAACTGTATACATATTTAAGATTGTTTTGCCCTGATGAAGACCTTAAAATAGGTCGAAAGCGTGGCCGTAGCGACTAAATTTGCGTTGTTCTTGAAGACCATACCTTGATCAAGAGGGTTTGCAAGGGAAAAATGGTCTATACTTCTAATACTGAAAACAGAAACTTCATGGATTTTTGAGGCACCACTAGTAGGTGACGGACTGTCATCGGCTTCATTACAGGGGGCACTGTTAGCGGCTGACCAACTTGAGTTGAGTGTGGCCTATCCTAAGCCTTGTAAGGCTAATTTTCTTCATTTTCTCCACACTTTACTGTTTAATTGTTCGCTGTTGTATTTTAGTTTATTTACCCTTCATTGTTTCACAAGGGTCCACTTCAAGTAAGTGCTTCCTTTTGAAAGCATGTTTTTCACAATGGTATCTTTTTCTTTGGATTCGCGGGATTTTGAGATGCTGGCATTTGAAAATGCCACGCCGGGGGAGAAAGGAAGAATCAATAGGAGAGGTAAATAAAGGGTAGCGGATCCCCACCACCTTTGGAAAGTAATGAATAATAAAAACACGGAGAGGGAAGAAGGGGTGTGTTTGCAGGGGTGATGTTGCCTGGCGACCGCCAATGAGGCCCTATCCCCACTTGCTTATTATGCAAAATGGTGATCCCCACCCAAACCATCCCGGGTAGATGAAATTTTAATATTTGGAATGGTTTTCCTTCAATTTATTGCTATTAGGCACGCCATGTTTTTATTTGTTTTAGGGCGGCGGGATCGCCCCGGGTCCCTACGATAAAAAAATATTACCACCCTTTAAAGGAAATTAACACAATCGATCATTCCTGCAGGAGATTCCGTCCGATTTAATAATCTCAAAGGTCTCTGGTCGTATTAAATCATCCCTTTCACCCTTTCCCTAATCAATTTGATAGAAAGAAGACTCTTTACACAAAGGATTAATACCAGAACATAAAATGTCAAAAGTAATAATTTACTCCCGTTTTATTGCTTCTATACAATTATAATATTCATTACTTAAGATCTTAAGAAAACCGCCATATTTTGATTCAATCAATTTCTCAAGAATGCATTAATAGACAGATTATACTGTTAAAAGTAATATAAGTGGTACTTTTAGGCATAAGTGTTTCTAATAACAGCATTACAAATTATGCAGAATTCGTATAATCAGTTAATACCATTTTTTTAACCACGTGTCATGATTTTTCAATTAAATAAAATTTTATGAATGTAATAGAGTAATTTTCTCTGAAAGCTGGTCATTATATTCGGACTTAAATGAACATTGTGGTTATTATAGGCTGTCCCCTCAGCCCACATGGCGCATGGCGATCGACCGACTTGGCAAATAACTTCATCACCGATTTCCTTATAGTTAGGACTGTCTCATTGTTCTGTAATGCTTTTTTGTTTGTTTCAGGTTTTGGGCTTACCACCGGATGAAGTTGGTGTCAAAGGATGATGAAATGTCAAAACCTTGTGATTAACATTATGGTCTAAAAGTTCGAAAACTTCAACTTTAATAATTGGGTAAAAATTAATTTGCTTAACTTGATCGAAAATGGAACGTACTTTATTACTAATTGGCTAGAAACAAAGTCATGTTGATTCTTTCGACGATTTTTTAATACTTGTTTTTAGATCAAAAATTTAAATGATATTTTATAGTTTTTAAGACTAAAGTAAGGTGTGAATTAATTATTTTTTATTGCACTCTGAGATCTTATGTGTGGACCGTAAAACTACTCTTATATTACATATTAAATGTTTTGGATCTTCCAGAGATTAAGGACCAATTAAGGACAAGGTTGTGTGGCCCAAGTTAAGGACATCTTTTGGAAACCACATTTGGAAAATATTCGTACGTGGGTAGGTGAATTTTTTGATAATCAGAAGAAAACTTCAGACTGTTACAATGCCAAATTCGACAGATGGTTGAAAGAAACGGAAAGTTATCTCTTATCACTTGACTTTGTCCAAGATGTGACTATCTACGCAGTGGGCTCGAACTGGATTCTATTCGTTGGATAGCGAAATTAAGATTGCCCTTGAATTCTACGACGTAAAACCTTCTGTGACAAGTAAATGTGAGCCAGTTTTCTTCCATTGTTCGGAAGTTTGTCGAAGTAATCCTGGGAAAAGTGCATACGCTCCCTCGAACCATATCTGTAGGATTAATTATTAGATTTAACTGGGAGAATTTAATTGGTTACTAGCGACGAGTATAATCTTAGATCCGAGCATGTCTAATCGTTAAAATGTTTGAATTAATAGTGATTAAATCCATGTCTAATGTTATGAGAAAGATTACTTGTTAATTGATTATAATAAAAATAAAAATTTCTCTCTCTCTCTCTCTCACTTTCTCTTTCTCACTTCCTATCTCCCGCCCTCCCTCTATCTTCTCTATCTTTCTCTGTACGTTTTTTGACAGACTTCACTTATGGGAATGTCCTCGGAATGCTGTTCTTTATTCATTAATCGATGTTAAAGTATATAAATTATAATTATTCAGAAATCGTGAGATGCGGTCTGGTGTGACGTAGGTTTCAGAAAAATATTTTCTTCATCGTGCCAACGTTTCGATCTTTATTGAGATCATCTTCAGTGACTGGGATTTACAAACATTGTTTAAATTTAACAAATACATGTATGATGTGGAAAAAAGTGATTTTATACAATGCAAAAATATATATTTTTTTATATTCAACCAAAGTTTCTATTATATTGAATGTAAAAAAATATATTTTTTTGCATTGTATAAATTCACTTTTTTCCACGATAAAGAAAATGTTTTTCTAAAACCTACCTCACACCAGACCGCATCTCACGATTTCTGAATAATTATGGACTAACGGTCACTAATCACCACACATACGTCAACTATGTATGTAATTACCATAAAAATAATTGCAATAAAAAATATATAAATCCATACTTATTTTTTTTATTTTGCCTCAGGTTATTTAAACCCTCCAGTGTACTTTGGCCTTTAATTGTGGATGTCCATATACGGAACTTGCACATTTCTCGGTGTCACATGGTTATTTTGCCAATTCTTTTTTATTATTGCATTTTGGCTTGATCCTCGTATTAGTATTAACGAAGCATGTGATTCGTTGACTTTTAAGTTTAAAATAAGGATCGAGTGACATTTATCTCCAATTCATCTCTTTTGCAAGCTAGATTCTATTGAATTTCTCACAAGAATGAATAAAGACTGATTGAACTTAATTTAAAAGTAATTGGAATTCAATTAATTAAGGTTTTAAGTTGAGATAAAAAAGTCAGTGTCACAAGCCGGATTCGAACCCACGACCGGAGTAATTCGAATTTTTTAACGATGTCGTAAGTTGGGGTGACATTCCGGATTTCGTCAGTTTAAATTAAAAAAAAAATAATATGCCTACATAGTTTAGAGAGGTAAAGAATGAACTAAAGTAACCTACTTCTATATAACAGTTACTATAAAGAACAGGCAACTATATTAATATTTATCTTCTGTCAGCTGAAGTAGTAAACCGCAGGTTGGTTTAAAGTGTCCTTCGATAAAAAGTTCAATAAAAACATCCTTACACTCATCATTATCTCTAGCAAGCAGTGAATAAAATTTGCGGTCTGATTTTTTAAATTAATATTATCCAAAGGTTACTTAACTAAATCTTAAACTCTACTACTACTAAGAAAGTTTTTCGGGATGTTGTTTGTTCCATAATGTATTAAAGGTCTCTTTTATCCCTAACATGATTTATTGTGGTAATTGGACGTTCAATAATAAACGCGGCTCTGATTGATTGACAGAAAGATGCAAATCAAAGAGATTCCGTAGGAGTGGCCACACACAACGTACACATTAGCAACAAAAAAGGCCTTTTTTTTACCTTTGTCAACGTTAAACATACGTATGGTACTTTTTAAAAAAAACCATTTATCCGATTCTTTTTCCGACTGTCAAACGACTGCTACGTCGCTCACGCGAGCGTGGTATTTGTTAGTAATGGGTAAATGTTTACCAGTCGTCTCGTATTATTCACCCTAGCGATGTGGCTCTCAGTCACAGTCACTTGTAATAAGATCGTTACTTACCCACAATTCATTGCGTGATTTATCGCCCTTTTCTCCAAATTTTCATTAAAAACTGCGGTAACTGACACATCCTTTATTTAGACGTGAAAAATTATAACAGACACTCCTTTAATCTTGTATAAGGAAATGGCAGCTAGATCTAAAACTAAAAGTACTTCGTTAATTTCCTTAATTTCACGCATCGTCAAATACGTGAATGCTTCAACTAGAATTAATATCAAAACGATACGTAATTAAAATATTCACAGATAACGTTATACATCCAACAATTACATGCATAATGCCGAATAATACTTAGCACTGTAATAAACCCATTAATTATTTATGTCAACAAGGGGTCGATTGTCTTATTAATTAGTCAGGACGAAACCGGGTGTCTTAGAATAATAGATAGCGGGGACTTGAATGTATTTTTTTACCGAAATGTGAATTGCCCTCTTGTTTAAAAATGCATGACAATAGGGAAAATACTCTATGCCGACGGTCATATTTCTCATGGGCGTGAACCATCCCAATAAATTTATAAACAGGGGGAACAATTATTTCATTTTGTGTAATATTTCAAACTTTGGCAGGTGGCGTTTCCTTAGTTTTAAAAACTAGCCAGGCCCTTTTTTTATGTCGAAACACTTTATACATATGTCTACGGTATATGTAATTACATTATCGAATTTTAATTCTAGTTAGAATAAAGTTGTATTCTAACCCAAGCGTTGAAAGGGTGGTAGAATTTTGTAAATAATATAATGAATTTGAATTTCATTCTGTTCGTTACAAAGAGACGCTTGAGTATTAATTTTCTACTATAACTAAATTGCGAAATTAAACGTATTTTTATTAATGTAGTGATATATTTCAAACATTGATGAGTGTAGGCAAGAAAAGAAATATTTCGTTTCAAACGTTGAATGTAGAAATGTGTGGTGACTAGTGACCATTCGTCGATAATTATTCAGAAATCGTGAGATGCGGTCTGGTGTGTTGTAGGTTTCAGAAAGTCATTTACTTTAGCGTGCCAACGTTTCGGTCTTTATTGAGATCATCTTCAGGGCCTGGGATTTACAAACATTGTTTATATTTAGCAAATACATGTATAGGATGTGGAAAAAAGTGAATTTATACAATGCAAAAAATATTGTTAATATTCAATCAAAGTATTTCACTCGCTCAAAGTGTTTGTTTTCTGCGTAATTGTGCCATTCTTGTGTGTCGTGTTGAGAGTACCAGTGAGAATTTGCTGTTTTATGTTTATATACGTTGGATTTTGAAGGAATGGGGAAGGAAGTCGGCTTGTTTGAAGTGAAAAGAGCCGACGAAGGGAAAAAAACGTTGGTAATGGTTCGGCCAGATTATCCTTTCACGTTTAGATAGACGCAAGAATGGCACAATTACACAGAAGACAAACACTTTGAGTTAGTAGAAATATTTTGATTGAATTTAAAAAAATATTTATTTGCATTGTATAAATTCACTTTTTTCCACATACATGTTAAATTAAAACAATGTAAATCCCAGGCACTGAAGATGATCTCAATAAAGTTCGAAACGTTGGTACGATAAAGAAAATGTTTTTCTGAAACCTACATCACACCAGACCCCATCTCACAATTTCTGAATAATTGTTGAATGTAAAATTGATTGATTAATATCTTTTTATTTTATATAAAACGATATTTTTGTAAATTGATCATAGTTATAAATATGACAATATTAAAAGCGTGGTGTAACCTAATTAAAATAATTTTTCATATCTTTTTATTTCCTGCAAAACCTTCCACAGCCTATCTAAATTCCACAGTTCTTATTTATTTCAAAAACTGCTTTATCCAATTAGACAAAACTAACTATTGTTGGACCACAAAAGAAATATGGAACTTTTCCTAATTTTGTATTTGCAAATACAAGCGATATTTTTACATCTTCCATTAAAGTATACGATTTGGTAAATCTTTTGCAAACTAATAAAAGGTTTATTGGATGGAAGAATGATTGGTTCAGTGCGAATGCTGCCTCAAGATAAAACAAAGCCATTTGCTATGGGCATTTGTGATCTATCTGGAGTCTCTGACAATCCAGGTTATGTTGATCTTCTAGGAATACGAGTTGATCCTCTCCTGAATTGGGGTAATCATTGTGGGAAACTAGTCAAGTCCATGAAATCTTATATATCTGATGTATGAAATGTATCTTATGCGTGGTCTCAATAATCAGGTTTTCCTAAAAGTAATTAAAATGATTTTATTTATTCAAGCATAACGCCATTCCGGCTCATTGACAATCTACGAGCAAGAGAATTGTCAAACATTTTTTGTTACATTAAGCCTCCTCACCCTACCATATATTTACATTTATGATTGTGTAATTTATGTGCATAAAAATAAGAATAAATTTGCCACTGTAAATAATTTTATTAGGTTACGTGATCCGCTTGACCATATAAATTCTTTTTAATTAATTAAGGTTTTGGTTGAGATAAAAATTCAGTGTCACAAACGAGATTCGAACCCACGACATGGGGCTAAATACGACGCTGCTCTCCCACTTGAGCTATCTTGACTTCGATCCACTCGGACACTAACCTCCCATCTCAACCCCACCTTTTGAATTAAAAAAATGGCAAACAGGAGGGAAAAACTCAAGTGGTAGAGCAGCGGCGTATTTAGCCGAGGGTCGTGGGTTCGAATCCCGCTCGAGACACTGACTTTTTTATCTCAACTAAAAACCTTAATTAAATACTGGCATTATGCACTTATTGTTATTGATCACTAACATATCACACTTTATGAACTTTTGGTTAGAACATATAAACCGTGACGTATCTGATCTATAAAATATATAGTTGTATAGTGAAATAAATAATACCCTTTTTTTTATCTTAACCAAAACCTTAATTAACTGTAAATGATGTAAATAAATATTCTACTCAACGCCTTAAAGTTATATGTTCAATGAAAGTAAATTATTAGCGTGAATGAGTGGTGATAACTCCCAGCTAGAGGAATATCAAATACTCTGCGGTGAGATTGTGTTGTCGAGAGTAAAAATAATTTATTAGCGTGAATGCGGATTTAAACACGTCCTGTGGAATATCGAATACTCTGGGGCAGTGAAATTGACCAGACTTGTCTTGTTTTGGGAGATGAAGCGATTGTCGAAAGAAAAAAACCGAAGAATTTTCTCTTTTTAGCGGATAAGTAATACATAACACTACTAGATTAGAATAAAAAAAGAAAAAATTTATTTTTAAACGTTAATGTTATGCATGCATGCAAATTTATGTGTGAATATTTTGACTTTGTAATAAGAAACGCTTGTGGTTTACTACAATAAGTGCTATTCTTTTCTAATTTGTTATAGTTAATTTTTTTAAGATGATCTAAAACTAAAAGTACTTCGTTAATTTCCTTAATTTCACGCATCGTCAAATACGTGAATGCT